ATCGTGAAATTCATCAAATTCCCAACCAAAATAATAAGCAAAGAAAATATCTCCGAAAAGTTTTATCTATTGTCCATTCTGATGCTTGACAACCGCATGAGTATGAATGAGATCATACAGTCACCTTCTGAGAATAAAAGTCATTCTCAAGGAAACAGTGTTCATCCATACATCGATTTTCATAATGTGTATTGGAAAAAAGTACGTTTAAAGTTTAGCTAGAATAAAAAAAAAGGTACACAATAAAGAAGCATTGAGGATGATCTTTAAGAAAGCATTTACAGGTGCTATTATCAATCGAACGTTTCATCGCCGTTCTACGACCAATGCTCGTGCAACACTTGCTAACCAAGAGCGTTCTCGTGGCCAGCACGGTGCTCATATGGAGTGCATCGGCAACAATGAATTCACCCTATCTAATCGCTGCTCAATATCTTCAATTCGGTGACTTTGGGGTAGGCAATTGCTGCTGGCATCATTGCAGCATTCTTAGGGTTAAGGTGCCACTATCAGACGTCATCGACAAAAGCACTCTCTCTCTGAATTGTTACAGTTCAATGAGATTAGGTGCGAAAAGAGCAGCACAGCTGCATCACTGAATTCCATGACAATCGATGGTGATCACTCAGCTGTGTTCAAAGCCCATCCGCAACACCTACACGTAAGATTGAAGCTGTGAGGGAGGCAAAGCTCAAAGCTGAGAACAAGTGCACGATTATTATCAAGTTTGAGTGGAGAATATGAGTTCATTTGCTTGCATATCAATCTGCTTGTGTATGAGAAATACTTGCATAAAGGCTTTGCATATTTTGCGAAGACAAGAGTGCGTTTTTGAAATCCTTTTGCGGTTTCGAAAATTCATTGAAAGCTTCCAATAATGTTTACAACTTGCAGTAATTGAATATGAAATCGCTTTAAAAATCATTCGTTCGGTGGTGATTGAAGTGAAACATTGCAGAGTTGTACACGAAAGAACATCCTCCTATTTGATGATCAAATGAACGTTCTGAAGGTGGTGACAACACTGAATTTCATCATATGGTATGCGATACCACTGGCGCTGTTGTTCGGCATTTACGCAACCATTGGTGTGGTGCTGCTGAGAAGTACGAACGACGGTGCTGTGGCACGCTCATCGTCCAGATGTGAACCCAGTGCTAGCACATTCATCAAGTCATCTGAGCATCAATACACTACGCTGATCTCGAAACGAAGTGGTTCGTTGCTCACTATTAAACTGCGTATTGATTAGCTCAGTAAACACCATAAATCACAGTGATCTTCGTTATTTTCAAACTCTAATTTTTAAAACTTTAAATTGTTACCACTTCGAAGATTGAAAATTGGAAGTGTGCTGAAGTTGCGGTCAGTTGAGAATAATTAGTGTTGGTGTTCAGGGAGTGTTGCGGTAGCAGCATACAACAACGCCACAAATCGGAAATCCTCAAAAGCTGAGGCGTTGGACAGTCGACGTCGAGTGATTCGCCTGGTGGTCATTATTGTACTTTCGTTTGCGTTGCTCTCAGTTCCGCGTTACATTTATTTGATGTGGAGTGTATGGAGGGACAACACAGGTGATCGGCATTATCGTTTTCAGTTGTTGTGCAGTCATTTCGGATACTTTCTTCATGTTCATTAGCATGGAGTATGCTTACGATCAGCACCTGCCTCGAATAATTTGCATCGAACTGAGCTCACTCTCTGCCGGCATAACATCAATTCTAGGGTGCTTGTCTTATTTTTGACGAAAAAATCCTCTCAATATGTTGCGGTGTCGGATTGTGTTGAAATTTCGACCACAAACGCGACAGAAAGAACAGAGAAGTCGGTGAAAATGCCATGAGACAGTGCGTAATTTTGGTTGTCGCCACCGACAAATCACGTTTCCCTAATGAACACTTTTAAGAGCCACGTTGTTTGGACTGCTTATCGGTGCTGATTCAACCGATCACATTTTTATTGATGTTTTTGAACAGTGCGATCAATCCGCTTCTTTACGCATTTCTGTCGAAGCGTTTCCGGGTTGCGATCGCCGATACACTGTGTTGTCGACACGAAAGAGACAAGGTTGCTGAAGAGTTTATTGCGTTCTCACTTCAACTTTTTTTGCGAGTCGGTCACTGAGATTTTCCAAGAAATTGAAGCAAACTATTATTATGGCTGTAGCTTCAAATGCTTTCAAACAATGAAATTCCTTCACTTATGCAAAACTGGCTAATAAATGTTCGAAGTATACCTTTCAAAAATCTGTTGAAAACATTTTGTTTTTTTTCCGCTGTTTCAACCCAACTAGAACTAAACTTCGTCAACTATAAACGCAGTCAATGCATAGCGCGCGAGCAATTCAATCCAATTGTATCAACTTTAGTTCGTCACATTACTGAAGTGGAGGAAAAGTTTGGTTCATGCAATAATTGATAAAATGTTGATGAAACGCGTAAATGAATTGATTTCGAAGTGAATTCAGATGCGAACTCGAGTGCTGCAGCTGAATGCGAGACGTATTTCAAGGGCGAGAATGAGCATGAATGGTAATACCCACGACGGTGCTCTACCTTATTAACGAGAACACTTTTGCTGCTGATGTAATACTAGAAAAGGAGACGAATTTATTTTCTTATCACCTCCGTGATTACGATAACGATATGAATGAAGTGAATTTGAATTGCTGAAAGATTGTACCAATTCGTTATTTAGTGTCTATTTTATTAGGCAAATTACTTACACCAGAGATCAGGTGTTCAAAAGTGTGAAGATGCGGAGAATTTACGTGACAGGAAATCTCTTGAAGTGTGCTGCAATTTTGGACTCACAGCAAAATTGATAGCTGTTTTGAAAGAAGAAACCTGTTCAGCTGCAACTTAGATCGTAGCGATCACCAACTGATCGTATTTCTCGAACATCTCTCGCGTATTCATTCAGCGCTCTCTATTACCAGTTTGATTTGAGAGCATTCTAGTTCCCTGGGTTCTGGAAAGCTCAT